TACTTATGAAAAAAAAACGAAGACTAGGAGAAATAAGAAATTTAAAACTGTGTGATGCAGTATAGTGAATTACTTCATATAGCTCTCCTAATCAGTCTTTTTAATTCTCACCAACAACTTTTTTTCCTGGGTAAAAGAAGGTGAGAGAAGATGCTGAAAATAGTATTATATGATCTAGTTGTAAGTAACTGTTAACAAGGGTAATCATGATTGTAAAAACTTGAAACTCTAACATGAGTAAAAAAGTGAGCTATCTCAGAAGCAGGAATGGGGAATTTCACTACCAACAAGAAAGAAAAGCCAAAAGTGAGTGTCTCCTTTGGACCCCAAGATCCCTGTACATTGAACCTCCTTGACCCAGGGACAGAAAGCTTTGACACTGGTTGTTGTTGTTAAGTGCTGTTGAGTTGGTTCTGATCCATAGCGACCTTGTATAGGGTTTCCATGGAGTGACTGGTGAGCTTGAACTGCCGACCTTGCGGTTCAAAGTGACCTTGCAGTCCGCTGCATTAACCCACAGGGCCACATCAGGACTCCAAATGCTGCCTGGTCCTGGATCAAACCATTGTGATCCACAGGATTTTCAGGAGACTGCCAGGCTTTTCTCTCTGATCTTATTTTGTCAGCTCTGCTGAAATCTGTTCATCACTGCTCACTGCCCAGAAATGGAACCTGGGTCTCCTGCATGGAAGGTGAGAATTAATATAAATCACCACTGCTCCTCCAGTGACACTGGAGTAGCAGAGAAATGGCAGAAGAACAGCAGCAGCTGAATCAAAAACCAGAGCACCAGTCAGTGGTAAGTAATGAGTGGTACAGAATTGAGGAGCATTTTGTTTTTTTGTGCATCGGGTCACTCACCATGAATCTGAGCCAACATGATGTTGTTGTTGTTGTTAAGTGCCATCGAGTCGGGTCCGACCCATAGCGACCCTGTGCAGGGTTTCCGAGGGTGTAAATCTTTACGGGAGTAGAAAGCCTCATCTTTCTCCCGCGGAGCGGCTGGTAGTTTCAAACCGCTGACCTTAAGGTTCGCAGCCCGATTCGTAACCACTACGCTACCAGAGCCAACATGATAGCAGCTAACAAAAACAATAATAATAATTTAAACTATAATTTATTTAGTAATATGTAAGTCTCTTATCCCCAGGAATGTCTATGTTTTGCACAAATTTTAAAACGTTAGGTCTAAAAAGCTGAACTAGAAGCAGAATGTTAAAATAGTGTTAGTTGTTGTTGTTGTTGTTGTTGTTGTTGTTAAGTACTATTGAGTCAGCTCTGACTTATAGCAACCCTGTATAGGGTTTCCAAGAAGTGCCTGGTAAGCCTGAACCACTGATCTTACAGTTCAAACCAACTTTGCAGTCTAGCACATTAATCCACAATGAAAATCAATAAGAAGTGTGACAAGAAACAGAATTAGAAATACCACAAAAAATCATGCACAAGAACTCAAAGACAATAGCTTGGTGGAATTCAACAGGATGAAATCAATGACCCTTACAAGGTTGAAAATACTTCAAGACTATCACAAAACAATATTAAAGAAAAATATTGTTGATTGCTTTTCATAATAATGATCTGAATTCATCAAGCAAATGTTAAATTCTACTCAGATGTCATAGGTGAAGATATGAAAATAGGTCGTTATAACTATGACTTATGTATATTTTAATATTATTATGCAAACTGAAAGACTGGCAGCTTAAACCCACCAGCTACTCCTTGGAAACCCTATACAGGGTTCACTGTGAGTTGGAACTGACTAGACGGCACTTAACAACAACATATGTTAATTTATTATTCCTTTAGGACTTTACAGCTTATTTTGATGCATTCTCATATCATTTGTATATATCAAGCTATCTAAAAGAATCCATGTTCTGTGAACTGTATAATTTAAAACAGGACAGTGATATGGCTACAGATAAAGTGGAAAACAGATATACAAATAAGTATAGAATGTCACACTTTAGAATAACATTAAAAAGCAAAGTAGGGTACATTCCTGGGAGCACACTGGTTAGCTGAAGTTAGGCCAAATGGAGTTTACTATTGCTCTATGATTAAGAAGTAGAAATATCATAAATGAACCAAATTATTGGAACCCAATTAATTTATCTCAACTTCTACTAAAGAAAAAGTAATTAATGTGAATCGTGAGACATAAAATAGTTTTAGCCCCAGGAAAGTGAGGAAAATCCAATTCTTCCAAAATATGTGAAAATTTTACCCTAAAATTACACTATCATGAGAATCACTGGGAAAAAAAGAATCATCATGCCTGATCTCAAGCGATCTAAAAGAATCCACAAATCGTCTTGATGTGGTGGTTTGCATGTTGTTGTTGTGGCCTGCAGGTTGCTGTAATGCTAGAAGCTGTGCCGTCAGTATTTAAATGGCAGCAGACTCACCCACGGTGGACAGGTTTCAGCAGAGCTTTCGAAGACGACAGACTAGGAAAATAGGGAGGACTACTTCTGAATGGTTAGCAACTGAAAATCTTATAAATAGCAGTAGATCGCTGTCAGATACAGGGTCAGAAGAAAAGTCCATCAGACTAGAAGGCATGAAAACGTTTTAGGCCTAGAAAATGATTGGGGTATAGCTGCCCTCCTCCCCAAGTAGAGTTGATTATAATGATGTGAATGGAACAAAGTTTCTGGGACCTTTCTTTGCTGATAGGACACAACTCAAAATAGAACCAGCTATAAAATCCATTAATAATTGGAACATAGTATGTACAAAGGATGAATCTAGGAAAATTAGAAGTTGTCAAAAATGAAATACAATGCATAAAGAGTGATATACTACATATAAGTGAACTAAAATGGACTGATATTGGCCACTATGAATCTGAAAATCAGATGGTTTACTATGATAAGAACGTACAATTGAAGAGGAATGGCATGGCGTTTATCAGTAAGAACACTTCAAGATCTATCTTGAAATACAATGTTGTCTGTTGTAGAAAAATGCCCATATGCCTACAAGGAAGACCAGTTAATACCACGAGTATTTAAATGTAAGCACCAACCATTAAAGCCAATGATGATGAAACTGAAGAATTCTGTCAACTCCTTCAGTCTGAAAATTGATCAAACATGCAATCAAGATGTATTGGTAATCACTGAAGATTAGAATGCTAAGGTTAGAAACAGGAAGGATCAGCAGTTGGTGATAAAAATGATGCTGGAGATCACATAATAGAATCTTGCAAGACCAATGACTTCATTGCAAGCACCTTTAACAACATAAAAGGTGACTATACACATGGACCTCAGCAGATGGAATACACAGGAATCTAACCGACTACCACTGTGGGGAGAGACTGTGGAAAAGCGCAATATCATCAGCCTAAACAAATCCACAGGCAGACTGTGGAATATACCATCGATTTGCTCATATACAAGTTCAGGCTGAAAAAAATGAAAACAAGCTCATGAGAGCCAAAATATAACTTTGAATATATCCCGCCTGAATTTAGAGACCAGCCCTATAACAGATTTGATACATTAGACACTAATGACCAAAGACCAGAAGAGGTGTGGGATGACATCAAGAAGATTATACAGGAAGAAAGAAACGGTGATTAAAAAGACAGGAAAAAAAAAGTTAAAAATGGATGTCAGAAGAGACTCTGAAAGTTGCTCTTGAACACAGAGAAGTGAAAGTGAATGAATGAAATGAGGAAATTAGAGAGTTAAACAGAAAATTTCAAGGGGCTGCTCAAGAAGACAGAATCAAGTATTATAATGAGATGTGCAGACACCTAGAACAACAATGTTCTGCCAGTAGATACATGGATGGATATATTAGCTGAATGGGTATGGGAAGAAGAGTAGAAGTATACCCACAAATATATAAGGGTTTTAAAGAAGATTTCTGTACATGTGTTTTTGCCTTTGCTACAAATATGGTGGAGCATACAACGGACAAGATGAAAACTTAGATATTATCAAGTATCTTAAGGCAATGGGTTACTGGGTCTGGGTCTCAGGGCCATAGTCTCAGAGGACACTATGGTCAATTAGCATTATACAGTCCACAAAGGCAATGATCTACAACCTACTCTGGTGAGTACCATCTGGAATCTTAAAAGTTCATGACGGCCATCTAAGGTGCAACTATAGGTCTTTCCATGTGCATAAGAAAGAAGAATGGTGTGAATTGAAGATGAAATCAATTAGTTTAATGAACTAATTAGAACATGTGAACATCATTCTCCATGCCTCTGAGACCAGAAAACTAAATGGTGCCTGGCTACCAATACCAAAAACTGCTAGGGGACCACATTAAAAGGTCCTGCACAGAGTGGGAGAAAACGTGGGAAAAAATTCAATATTATAATAATAACAAAAAAAAGACTAGGTTTAATGGTAAGAAAAGGCTGGAGAAACCCAAGACTATGGGTCTCAGTCCCCCTTCACATCTGGAAAGGAACTCACCACAAAGAGTTGCGGCATGGCAACAAGAACAACATATACGAAGAAAGCAAAAAATCACAAAATAAGACCGGAAAGAAAGAAAAGACAATGGACG